AGCTCTAAATAACAGAGAAATCAAGAGGTCTAAGTGTAACACCCTCAAAAATACAAACCGATTTTTCGTAAATTATTAAAACTATTATCATGGTAGAAAATTTTCTTACCATGATACATCCAAAACAATATACCACAGGTATTAAAATATCTCAAAAAAGCAATTAGAACCATGAGGGACAGTCAGGATCCTCATGGCATGATATTTAAATTAGGTCATGAATCAAGAGAGACAAACATAATCCTCTTGGTCAAATAAATACTTTTAATAAAAAGGATTAGTGTTTACATGCTTCATAAAGAAGATATGTCCTAAGTTGGCAGAAGATACATTGTATAATCCAAGATAAGAGGCAACGTAAAAGATGGTGTTTCATACACCATAGTTACACCACTGGTGCTTTCTCGGCCGGACTCGCTCCTGTAAAAATATTAACCACGGGGAATGAGACTTAAAAGTCCCACTAACCAAAAATTAATATGCAATGATGCATGCGATTGTAACTAATCATGCGATTGCTAAGTGGGCACACAAAACATTTAACCGAACAATATTTTCAAACAAACCGAACAAGTATTTAATTTGCATGACTACACCTTATATCCTCCTTTCGCCATGCTCGAACGCTAAATCACCCGGCCAAAGGTGAGTTAGACCAAGCGACACGCCACTCATTGGGTCCAATGAGGGCTTACCACGTGGTAATAATTAACCGAACAGAAATTTCCATTAACACCATACATTAAAATACCCTGACAAGTCATGCATCATTCAAATATCCAAACAGGAATATATCCGAACAATAATATCTCATCATGATAAATAAAAATAAATTTTTGACTCACTTGGCAATAATTTTAAACAAGTATATAACAGTATTTATTTTTCAATAATTCATAGTTTTTCCAAATAATAAGTCAACACATAACCATTCACAAACACACTCATCACAACACATTAATAATGGTTACCTTGTGTCTTGAATAACAAGTTCCCCTTCACAACTCCTTTTTCACCACTATCTTTGTCAATATAATCTACATAATTATTTCACAATACTATATATTAATTTTACATTAAAATAAATAACTCTAATTTAAAGAATTAGAAAGTCTTAGATCTATAATCCATATTAATACTAATTTAAGATTTATGCCTCATTTAACTTCTCAAATTCTTTTTCTAAAATTCTCGCACCCTAATAAACTATTTTTTTTATCCTCAAATCACTTCTAGTATCACAATTTCATCCTTCTATATTCTAAAAATTCGTCCAAAAATAAATTAAAAATTTTAAAATTATCCTGAAACCTCAAATCACCTTTCTATAACCTCAAAAATACCTATTCATACTTAAATAAATATTTAATAATCAGAGGTTTATCCCTACATCTCAGATTCCACATAAATTCAACCATATAGATCTAGATTTTAACTCAAAAATTCTTAAACATGAGTTTTAACCTCAAGAAAATATTCTATAATATTTATTATATCCCTAAGAGTTTTAACCTATATTTTTAATCCATCATATCATCATATTAACTATCCTATAAAAAAAATTCTAATCAGAGTATTTACTCTATCCTACAAAATAATCATATCACTAAAAAGCTAATATTATTTAGAAAATAACTATAAAATTAATTTTGTAATTAAATAAATTTTTTAAGTGCTAATCTAAATAGGAAAGTTAGAACATACCTGAAGAAAAAGAAAATAATCCCCCCTTGCAAGAAGACGCTGAGCAACGTGAGAGGAAGAGAGAAAAATAATATAAAAATGGGATTGTGGGTCCCAAAATTATATTAAAAAAAACTATAGGTTTGAATTTAATTATTCAAACCTTTGAGCCATTACTTGCAATTTTCACAAATTGCATCTTGAGCCCTTAGTTGCCATTTTCACAAATTGCAATAAATAATTCCTTATGCTTCCTCCACAATGCACCTTCTCTTTTTATACATGAGGAGGTGCCTTTCATTCCCACATCTAACCGATGTGGGACTAAACCCCCTCCCCCTTTTTTTTTACTTTCTTTTCTTTTTTTTTAAACTCTCACACACACACATTTTTTTTTAAATCTTAAAATTATATCTTAACAAAATATTTCTTATATAATTTTAAACTTAAGTTTTTCAATTCATAATTAAATGCCTACCCATATTATTATAATAACCTTAAATAATATAAATTCCTATTATTAACATCATTTTAAAAAAAACTTAAATTTCATAATTTTTTTATCTAAAATTTAGGATGTTACACTAAGCATTTGATATACAGCCCTACATCAAGGATTTTGCAAAAATACTTGGTGAAGTAGGATGATTTTTCCTCTTTGGCACCATTGATAGAATATCTGTAAAATCCTCGCTTGAACTCTGGCTTGAGTAGTACAGTGTCACCGGACTTCCTACCTTGAAGCTGTAGCAGTAGTTGTTCCTCACCTTGGCAGCATTTTTGATTTTTGACACCAAATTTGTAGCAACAAGTTTGCCTCGCTTCACCTTGCCTCGCATTCGTGTGTTTTCCCAGATAAATGCAAAGCTTCAGTCTGCCTCACCTAGCGTTTATATGGTGTCCTTACTAAATCTCTAACTTCGTTTGTCCACCGACGGCAGCTATTTCATTGACTGCTGTCAATTTCTTCGCCCACAGTCTAAACGCATGGCACTGCCTCCAGGTCTTCGTGTGGTGCAAGCGAAATGCTGTCTCTAGGTCTCCAAGCCTTTAAAGGTTATTTCGTTTTTTGGTCTTGAGGGAAATTAGCAAATCGACCATTCTCTTAATTTAAAAAATGGTGGGTTATTAGTTTTATTTAGCTACATAATATTGACTAAATATGCTAAAGCCCCAATACAAAATTACATTTTATTTTAAAGTAAAATATCTTATTAAATAAAGACAAATATAGAAATATGAAGTAGTAGTTAATTATCTCTAAGTTGATACCATGTTTTCATGTTTGTCCTTGATAAGGTGTCCTGTGAAAGGTTAATTGATTTATTTATTAACAATATTTTTTTAAAAAAATTATTGATTATACATTGAAAAATTAAAAATATTTTATATTTTTAAACATATAATCTTAGAAGAGGTGTTTTGTTTTTTTAAATGGATGGAATACATATTTTTACTTCTTTATCAGAATTTAATTAAAACATATCGTACATTATAAATATACTATTCAAAAGCCATAAATCACAAGTTATATTTTATTGTCATAGATTATAAAACTATTATTTTTTAACTTCTCAACAATGAATTATCAATGTCGTATGTAAAACTATACACATTGCACATATTTTAGTTTTTTTAATTTCATGTTTGCTACTATATTTTTATCTATATATGCACGAGAAAAGGGAGCAAAAACTTGTTCTAATTAAGACTTGTGAGCAATGTAGTAGTGTGCGTTTGGTTTTCAGTTTGCCAAAAGTTCATTTGGTGAAAGTCAGTTTAATGAAAACCAGTTGTTGTAACGAAATTAATGTTTGGATATATTTTTCTAAAAGTAAGTTTGATACATTGAAAGTTGTTTGGTTTGTGATAGTAAAATGTGCTTTTGAATGTACAATTATCAAAAAGGACATTGATTTATAATGATTTATAATTTTTATTATACAAATGTAATATATTCAAAATATTTAAAAAATGTAATAAAGATTATAAATAACATAAATTTTGATCCATAATGTTAAAAATTTGATATCTAATTATTTGTATTTTTTAATTTGTAATTTTAAAAGATGTAATAAAGATTTGTAATTTTTATTATACATTAATGCTAAAAATCAACATGATTAACTACTCAATTTATAATACTTAAAAAAATTAATACCTAATTATTATTATTAAAATAATAATTATATTTTTAATGAATTAACTATTTTTTAAATAAAAAAATAAGAGATTAAATTTAGGATAGTATGGTCAAATAACATCCTATGTTTCAAATCCACTTTTTAAAAGCTTTAAATAGTTATGTTTCAGAAATTCACTTTCAGTTACTATTTGAATGTACTTTCAGGATGTACTTTCCTACAAAATATTCTACCCAAACAACTTTCAACTTTTTAAAAGTAAAATTTTATTTTCTGAACATAAAACGAAAAAAAACCAAACGGACTCGTAGATGTGTGCTAGCCAACCACAGGTACATCCTATGGGACACATTCACAACATAGTTATTCACCATTAATCCATTATTGCTGGCTATTCTGAAATTAATAATTTTCTTCTCTGTCAACGAAATTAGTTGTTTTTCTCTATAAATGACATAAATAGCTATTATTGTTTTAAAAGCCTTACTTAATACAAAATATATATCATTGAGTAATTTTATAATAATTTTTTTAATTATACTCCATTTTATTTATTATTCTTTCAGAAAGGGTAATGCATCAGAATTTTGAATATCATTATTAAAGCTCATATGTAAGATATTTGATGATGGTAAAGCTAAAAAGATGTAAATTTTGTACGAAATTAAGATTTTAACTAATTTTTTTTAAATCATGAATTAATTATCAATGCATGCATCCCTATATTTTGGTCAGGATGAAGTAACTACTAATACTCACCATGTTTATGTTGATAGTTGCTACTGTTAATAATACTTCTGCTGTCCCATATTATAAAATTAACATTGGAGAAATTTTTTACATCAAAATATAAAATAATTTTAAAAAAATTAAAATTTTATTAGCAATACTTTTTTAATGTTACCTTATGAATAAAGAGACAATTGAAATAATATTACAATATAATGATTAATTGTTTAAAGATACCTTTAAAAATAAATTAATAAAGAATTATTATTGTATTTTATCGTTATATAAAATCCTGTCTCAAATTCAATGCACTAACATAGTAACATTCATCATCATCAGCATTACATTAACGAAAGGAACGGCACGAACAGGCGCGGGGGCATACACGTAATAAAGCAGAGGGTTCAGATCCATTTTGGTAAGCCCGCAGATGCGACACCAACCAATCAACGTGTGTGACTGCGGAACATCGCCGCCAGCGCAAAGCACACAGCACCTGGAAATATTTCCCTCCGGTTCCGTTGAAGACAAAAGCCACTACACATACAACTAGACGCATCAATTTTCGGTTCCAAAATATCGAACACTCACACTCACCATGGCGGATTAAGCGAGGCTTCACCGCTTCCTCTTGCTCGTTCAACTTGGGTTTCTCTATTTGATTTCCATGGCGTCAATTTCGGGTATTTGCTCATCTTCCCCGTCTCTCAAAATCCAAAAGCAGTCCCCGAGGCTGATCAACATTCTCTGCAAAGAATTGGTCGCATTTCCTGCTCGTCCAAAACTTACTTCCAGTGATCGGAGCTTGAGCCTCGTCACCACTCAGTCCGTGGCCCGGGAGGCCCCGGCTGAATTATCGAAGGTCAACGATGGGGCCTTCGCGAAGGAGAAGGCAGGCCTGGAGAAAGATCCCCGTTCTCTCTGGCGGAGGTATGTTGACTGGCTGTACCAGCACAAGGAGCTGGGGCTTTACCTTGATGTTAGTCGTGTTGGGTTCACGGACGAGTTCGTGAAGCAGATGGAGCCCCGTTTCCAAGCGGCTCTGCGAGCGATGGAGGAACTGGAAAAGGGGTCAATTGCGAATCCCGATGAAGGCCGTATGGTCGGCCATTATTGGTTGAGGGATCCTAAACGCGCGCCAAACCCTTTCCTCAAGACGCAGATTGAGAATACTCTCGACGCCGTTTGCAGCTTCGCCAGTGACATCGTCAGCGGTAAGGTCAGTTGATACTAAAGTTTGTCTTCGCACTAAATTTGTTTCGTCAACTGTATTTTGACATTTCTTTCTAGATTGCTTTTACCAATTTTTTTCTATATCAACGTTTGTTGGCAGATCAAGCCTCCATCGTCTCCGGACGGTCGCTTTACTCAAATTCTCTCTGTTGGAATTGGAGGTTCTGCTCTTGGACCACAGTTTGTAGCAGAGGCATTGGCCCCAGATAATCCTCCTCTGAAGGTACTCATTGATGTTCGCTACTCATTGTATTGCTGGTTGCAAATTGCAAGAGTGATGACCAATGCTGCTTTTGCTGGGCATTCAAATTCATTCCTCGATTGCGGGATTGCTATTCCATAAACATATTATTTTGACCTCATAAGGAAAATTAATTTTAGCAATTGTGGGGGAAGGGATGAGATTAAAAATTCTGGCAGTTTGTTTCTAGAAGTGTTTATTTTAAAGGGTTTGTGATCACTTCGGATGATTTAGTTTAGACTGACACTCGTGAGGATTCGAATTGTGCTATATGCTCTTACCTTGAATACAGTATATCCTATTCTGAAGTTTCAGTCATTGGAGAGTGGTGCTAATATGTGATCTCATTGATTTTGGATTTCTGATGAATCTTCGGTGGTATTGTTACTTCTTTTGTACGCACAATATCTGGGAAAACTGTGTTATCAGACGGGGGAATGTTTTTCTGCTCCTGTTGTTTACTTGGACTTTTGGCAGATAAGATTTATTGACAACACGGATCCTGCTGGAATTGATCATCAGATTGCACAACTTGGACCAGAATTAGCTTCGACACTTGTTGTAGTGATTTCAAAGGTCCACAAGTAGAGTTGCAGAATACGGTTTATGTTTATGTTATTATTGCCTCATTGTTGTACAGAGCATGTTGTTGACTCAAACATGTAAAATGTCTTCAGAGTGGAGGTACCCCTGAAACTAGAAATGGTTTACTAGAAGTACAGAAGGCATTCCGTGAAGCAGGCTTGGATTTTCCAAAACAGGTTTAACTGCAGCCCTCTCTCTTACAAACACGCACTCAATTTCCCTGGATTATTACATAAAATAACATAGTCTAAATGCAGGCAACTGAAGAGCAATTGTAGTTCTAAATATTTTTGAATTGTGGAAAACTCCCTTTCTAACTAATGATAAAGATAGTCTTCAACTTTTAGATATCTATGCTGCCCTATGGTCATTTTCTTTTTGGTTGCCATGGTACTTTTTGAATTTTCCACACTTCTAACCCTTTATCACTTGCATGTCTGCTGTCAGTTTGTGAAATGTGATAATATGCTTATGCATGCCACAATGCAGGGTGTTGCAATAACACAAGAAAATTCTTTGTTAGATAATACTGCAAGAATTGAAGGGTGGTTGGCAAGATTTCCAATGTTTGACTGGGTGGGAGGTAGAACATCAGAAATGTCTGCAGTTGGCCTGCTTCCTGCTGCCCTTCAGGTAAATGACCCTAAATTTGAAATTTTATGTGTTTATACTTTTGATCTTTGCATTCAAATATTATAATGGTTTTTGCTTCAGGGGATTGATGTTAGAGAAATGCTTGCTGGTGCGGCTTTGATGGATGAGGCTAATAGAGGCACTGTGGTATGTCTCCGTTTCTTGATGTTCTTTCTAATGTTTTCATAAGGTGCCTGATTCTGAGGGATTTGGCATGAAACTAGTCACCACTTAATGTATGACTTTTTTACATCCAACATTTTTTCTAATTCGAATGTTATTGTATTTATTTTATCTTGTGACTAGCCTCACTAATCGAGCTATTGGGGATGTGGCGATATAAAGATCTGTCTTGGAATTGGAAAAACTGGAAGTTATAAAGATCCGTTCAGGGTATAGATAAATAATGTACTCTTTAAGAAATCAAGTGCTGAAAATGACTGCCTCTAGACGTCTACCTTCGATAATTTGCTAATTTGTTTGTATATAGATGCACTATGCATTTGAACAAGCAATTTGTTTGTTAGTAATTCTGTGAAGCAGGGACCTGACTATGGGTACTCTAAAAATTGTGGACATGAGCCATCGTGATGATTACAGAGTAAATGTGGCATCCTTAGATCATACTTGTCAAGTGTCATTGTCAAGCAACGTTTTCATTCATCTTTTCCAGCTCCTTCATCTCTCTCAATTGTAGCCTTTGTAGTTTGGTCCAGCTCCTTGCCGAATACCTATTCTTTTAATAGTTCCACCATTTAGATGTTGCAATTTGTGTCCTGTCTGCTTAACCTTGCCCCACTCAGATATCACAAGGAAATGGAAGAAAAGGATGTCTTATTAATAATTACTTATGTGCAGTTAAGGAATAATCCTGCGGCATTGCTAGCATTGTGTTGGTACTGGGCTACTGATGGAGTGGGATCCAAGGTGAAAATCATACGCTTATGGACATTAATAATTTATCATCTGATTTATTTCCCCATTGCTTATTGGTTTCTTCTTGTTTACATTTTCTAGGATATGGTTATCCTTCCATACAAGGATAGCCTGCTATTATTTAGCAGATACTTACAGCAGTTGGTCATGGAATCATTAGGCAAGGAGTTTGACTTGGACGGTAATCGGGTATGTGGTGCAAAAAATTGTATTAGATTTTCCCCCAATTTTGGTGATCACCTGTAAAATGATGTCTCATCATCACTTCACAGTTGCACGTGTCAATAAATAGTCTAATGGACTCAATTTTGCTAGTTGATAATTTCTTAGTATGTATTACTGTACTGCATGAGATGGTGCCCCCCTGTATCAAATCCAAGACATCATTTTGAGACATTCTCAAAGATGGGGTCCCAGTATGTGTAACCATCCGGTGAATGCGGATTCTTCCTTGCTTCATATAATGCCATTATATGTTAACATGATTTTGTTATAAATGGTTTATGGTTTATGTGTTCATTTTATGTAAGGATGCAACTTCTCGTGTTTTCTGAATGTGACTTGGATTTCACAGGTTAACCAAGGAATTTCTGTCTATGGAAATAAAGGAAGCACAGATCAGCATGCGTGAGTTTTCGTTCTAGTTATAAGTTGCTTTGATATACCCACCAATTTAAATCAATCTAAATGAACTTCCCCCTGCAACAGCTACATTCAGCAACTGAGGGAAGGCGTGCACAATTTCTTTGTGACATTCATTGAGGTGCTACGTGATAGACCTCCTGGTCATGACTGGGAGCTTGAGCCTGGTGTGACATGTGGTGACTACTTGTTCGGCATGCTACAGGTTCAGCTATACATCACGCTAATTTATTTTTGAGTAAATTACATAGACCACTGCTGAGTTTTGCTAAAATTATTCAAACTTTCTATTTTCAAAATATATAAAAATTTTCACTAAAACAAGAGGTGACCTTACACTTTAGTCAAGTTTTAATTTCTTTTACTGAAATACCATACATTAATCTAAATACATATTTTTAAAACTAAAATATTTAGATGCAGGGTATTTTGTTAAAAAAAAAAAATTATAACTGGGCTAAAGTGTTGGATAACTTTTTAATTTAGAAAAGTTTGTGTATATTTAAAGAAAAGATGGGATATCCATGTAATTTCAGCAAATTAAAGGAAGTGTGTGTATTTTGCTCTTTTTATCCATTCATAGTATAAAAACTCTTAACTAATTTTATTCGAGTCTTGAATAATGTGACTCATTTCTCGAAGTCTTGGACCTGCACTTGTTGAATTTTTATCTTCTATTATTGCTTCAAATTGTAGCTAGTCTTAAGGTTAAAAAAAAAAATTGTAGCTAGTCTTTCTTGCCACGTCATTCTAAAACTTAATTCTACAGGGTACAAGGTCAGCTCTATATGCTAATGACCGAGAGTCCATCACAGTCACTGTGCAGGAAGTAACACCCAGATCAGTTGGTGCTCTCATTGCACTCTATGAACGAGCTGTTGGGATATATGCCTCACTTGTCAACATAAATGCATATCATCAACCTGGTAACTTCATATCTCTTGGGCCCACTCATAAAATTTTCTAGATTTAAGATAAAATAATTAAAATTTGTTCTTTACATTGTTATTTTCAGATTCATAGATCTATTGTGTTTGGAAAGTTCAAAATACAGACTTATCGATCCTAGTGGCATTCATTTACTTTATATATTTGTATATGATTTAGTTCTTGAACTATGGTAATTATCTTAGGTGTGGAAGCTGGCAAAAAAGCAGCAGGTGAAGTATTAGCTCTTCAGAAGCGGGTCTTGGCAGTGCTAAATGAAGCAAGGTATGATGGGATATCTTCAGAAATGCAAGGTTTCTCTTTGTCATAGCTGTTAACATTAGTAATGACTTAGTTAGGATCCTTGTGAATGCATTAGTAGAGGCTTCTCTTTCTCTGACTGGGGCACAAATTGCAATAATGTTATGGGCGCATCTTCCTAAACATTTGCGCCTAGCCTAAAAAATACTTGAAAAGGCGACCAATCTCTGTGTAGCATACTAGCATTCCAATACGTTGATTGTCCAGTTACGTTCAACACTAACAACTGCCTACATGTTTCTTTCTTTAGCTGCAAAGATCCTGTGGAGCCATTAACACTTGAAGAAGTAGCTGAACGTTGTCATGCTCCAGAAGATGTACATGCATTTACTCAGCGTAACTATTCATGCGTCATTAGATTTGCTAATTATAGCATAAGACACTTAATCTTGAGTTTTATTGAACTTACCTTCGCTGCAGATAGAAATGATTTACAAGATTATAGCTCATATGGCTGCCAACGACAGGGCGCTTATTGCTGAAGGCAGCTGTGGTTCACCACGGAGCTTAAAGGTTTTTCTTGGGGAGTGTAATATTGATGAATTGTATGTTTGAGCTAAGATTAATGAAATTCACGTTCCACATGTCCTAGATGGGTTTGCGTTGCCATCGAAAGAAAGGTAGCAGCCTGCAATAAATTGGTTGCTGTTGTTAGATGATCGCATGGTAATAATGAAAAACGGAGATTTTTGTTCGTGAAACTAGAAATTAGTTGAGGTTTTTTTTGTGAATTGGAGCCATAATAACATCTACTCCATCCATACTTATATATAAGGTTTTTTAGAATTTTTTTATTCCTAAATATAAAATGTTGTCAGTATATTTTTTAATAAATGGACTGTTGTTTCTTTATTACATTGGAAAGGAAAAAATATATGTATTTTCATTAATATAATTTAAAAAAATTATTTTTTATTTACCATAATTAAAGGTAAAATTAAAATATTGTTGTGTTGTTAAGTAGATAACTGATTTTTATTAACTTGTGTGATTTGATTAAAAATAATTTATATATAGAGAGAAGAGTTTAAGTGTTGTGTAATATATATTTATATGCGCGCGCGCGTACATACGCTCTTCTAATTCCCAGACTATGTTGTGTGATAAATTTGCAAATGTTTGCGTTGAAAGGGAAAAAAGTACTCGAGGTGAGACTACATAGGTGTTTGCTAAAGATCCAATATCGGTAACTTTACATATTTAATTTATTTAAAATTATTTAATATTTTTAAATTTTCAAAATTACTCTTAATAAAGTTCATTGATTTTGTTAAAATTAATCTCAATTAAATTTTGAGACAAGTTCTTGTATTAAGGATCATGGGAAAAAATAATGAACGCCGGAGGAAATATTTAATAACATGTCATTTGGCAACATAAATTTGTAGGAGCTGTGCCTGTGCCCGACAGGGAAGCTTATTTGAAGATCTAAGAACCTGATTGGTATAAAGAATTGAAAAGATGAGACTGGGACTAGCTAATGTCATCTTTTGATGTTCAGTATGAGGTAATGGAAACTTTAAATTCAGTACCAATCCCATTTACATAAGATTACTCAATACCATCATGTTCTGGTATTAAAAAATTAATTTTGGGATTGATTTTTTTTTTTTTTAAGGACAAGTTGCTCACATCCTCCCCCTCTCATTTCTCTCTCCCCTTGCCCTTTGCCATGGATGTGTCGTCTTTCTCCCTCATCCTCCCCTCTCTTATCTCTCTTCCCCTATTGTAATATCGCCCAAATTACTGACAATACTTAGCTATAACACTGCATATTACCATACTAATTAGGGAGTAACTATCCTAATTGCTTACAATGGAAAAAAAGTTAACTATTGTTAAAAAAACTAACCATAGTAAAAAAAAAAAGACTTAATTTGAAGGTTTAATAGGGTTAATAGAATTAAATTACATGTACGATTCAAATAAAATATATAACTATAAACCCCAAACCATGGTAGAATAGGTTCTATCATAGTAGAAAGGTTTGAACTCGAGTAATTAGGCCCTTGTATTAAAACACTAATATGCTAGAAAAGTTTTGAACCTATAGTTGATATTGTAAAACCAATTTAAATCATTGAGATCCCAATTTTTGAAACGAGTAATTAAAATCTTTTCAGAGACCATCATGCATAAATTAGAGTACACAATCACATGGAAGCATGGGATGCCATTAAAATTGGAAACAATAAAGAAATAGGGTTGAAAATAATAACTTTAAACTTTTTTGAAGCACCCGTTATAGTTAAGTACTCATGCACAATAGCTAAAGCTTTTTTATGCCATGTGTTGTGACGCACTGTACAAAATTTATGACGGCATTTTATTGTCATAACTTAATCTCGGGGCTAAATTTTATACGTGTCCCAAATCTTTATTCGATAATTGATTAAGGTAATTTAGATATCTATAGAAATCTTATTTAGTGAACTAGCTAGTAGTACTAATTTCATTTTCAAGTCACCACCACATTTTTACACTTTTAAACTTTCAAGGTGTCTAAAGCAAAACCAAAGTGCCAAATACTCACACAGCTACCTAGACCATATTCAAAGGACTTAAGATAATATGTACAATACACCACAACAGACTGATGCAACTAAATACTCATTTTTACTTCCCAACTCCAATTTCATAAAAAATTATAAGCGGAGGTTAATAATGTAAATTCTCCATATAATCATTTACAACTATTAAATTTACCATAAACATACTTATACCAATATTTTGGCCCTGTTTAAACATTAACACCTCATACAACATGACCCAAGGCACAAAAAAAAAAACACGAAACATAAAGACATGAATTGGTACAAGTATTACAAAATGATTGTTCTAGTTGGCAATATCATGATCACACACACACACACACATCAAAATAAGAGGCATACGGTAGGAATATAATAATTCCCAAGCCTCTTGTGCCTTTCTCTTGCCTTTCTAGAACTAGTGCTTGTAAAATGTTAGATAAAAAATGAATACAGCAACTCAATAATCAAGAAAACTCTAAATCATGTTTATGCAAGTTAAATCAATTAAAGAGTGTAAAGTGGGCATAATAAGTTAGTCAAGTTCACAACATAGCATCATATCATGTGAGACACACACACGCACACTTATGTTGCCGACTGAATTCATGGGTTAACAATTCAAATTAGGATAAGTTTGTGTAAATTGATTAGCCCAAGATTATTAATCGTGAGAAGCTACCTGGTAAAGGTGCTACATTCACTCTCATACTATGAGTTCCTCCATTCTTGAATTCCCTAGAGTATTATAAGTCATACTCCACACCCAGTCTAAGGTGATGTCAAGGGCTAGTGGTTTGGGTATTCTACATTTACACTCATTTTTAAGTGAGATTCAGGAAGATCCAATCTTAAACCAAACACTGGGGCTAGTTATTGTGTTGATAATATCTACATGGACATGATATCACTAAACTATCTACATAGACATAATATCACTAAACTCCTCTTACAGTGAATTCCCTCCCAATACATGATCTTGCAAGTATACACCTTGCATTCACAATGCATACTAAATTTCATGGCACAATTCACTTACCGTAATTATAAATTCATCATCAAAATTCTCATACTATAAATATATTTAAAATTCTCATTTCAATAAATACTTAACCATTTCCACTTTGATCTTTTCCCATTTATATGAAATAGGCTACACTTGCATTTGAGTTTTTAAAGTGATAAATCAGGTTTGTTGAGTTATAAAACACTTTTAACAATTTCTCAAACAACCATAATTAATCTAATAAGTAATTAGCATATAAATAGAATCTCTCGACTACCTCAAATCTTTAAGAATTGAAAGGTTACCCCTATATCACTTGTTTCTTGAGCTAAAATTGAGCTCAAATGGTGTACCACAAGATTAATCTACAATTTATAACAATAATCATCACTAATAATTAACATAAACATCACTTCTCACTTCTAAATTCACACTTTAATAAGCAAACTTTTCAACTACAAGCACAACCTCACATTCAATGAATTTATTAACTCTTATTAACTCTATTTTGTTTCTATTAATTTAAACAACAATTAATATATCATCCAGTAATCCAAATCCTTCCTCAAAGTGCCTAAGATTCGTTCAAAACCTTAGACCTAAACTCACAATCTTATAAAATCTTTAAAACAAATTCTATTAATTCTATTTAGACTAATAGATTTAAACCCATAACCTCTAAATCTAAAAATCCATCTCCCCATAACAAATCCCAACTCAAATCCTTGCTAAAATTGAAGAGAAAGGAAGAGGGAGAGGTAATGGAATCTTATCTTAAAAGAATTAAGCTTAAATCACTTCAACATATCCTAGAAATAAAGCCCTAATAGAGTATTTCACCAACCTTTCATCCCTCTTCTGTCTCCTTCTTCTTTTGTTTTGCGAGTTATAATAGCTCATTTTAATTTAAAATATGAGCCATTTGTCATGGTGCACAGCCTATTCGTCACGGCAGATGGTACAAAGAGGGATTGACTTGGTTTGGTCCTCTAATTGGGCCCAAGTAGCCCAAATCCACCCTGAACTTGATCCAAGGGCTGAAAATAAATTCAATAGGCCTGTTAGCCATATTTAACTATTCTAAAACTAATTAACACTTAGTTTTACCTAATTAACCTTGACTAATTAATTTAATTTGATAATTAAAATCTAAGATATTATGCTTGCCCTCCAGTCTCTCTCCCCTTGACCAAATTACATCTATTGCATTAGCGTTTTCCTACATCATTGATGGGTTGGAATTTGATTTTGAGTTTTCCTCCTGCTAACTCGAGTTCAAGTTGCCTCCTTCCAACTATTAGTTTGAGTTGGCGCCGCCATTGATAGGTTCAAGTTCTCCCTCTTACTAGTTTGAGTTGCCATTGGTTTGAGTTTAATGCCATTGACAGGTTCAAGTTTGAGTCACGAATTTGCACTTAGTTGGTTTAACTTGGATGACATCTAGATTTGGGTTCGAATCCTCCCTCCCTTAGGATTGTGTTAGATCTGGGTTCAAGTTCATCCGCTCCTTCCTAGTTGATAATATGTAGATCTAGGTTAAGTTTATCTTCTTCCTCTCGACTGTTTTTTTTTTTGTTATTGATAAGGGCCATTATGATCTTTTGATAATTCCTGATTAATTATAAAATAAAATTAATACAAGTGTTTTATCCAAATATTACTTTATATCAAATATATTTTTAAATCCTCAATCTCAACTCCAATTCTAATCTCAATTTCAATTTTAATCCATTGAAATTCATACATTCATGCCAAATAGGGCTTAAAAGTTTAAGAAAATCTCAACTCACTTAATGTCGTAAGTACTTAAGTTCTAAATAATCATCTGACTATATATTTATACTATTTTATTAGTTTTAAAATATGAATTTTTATTATATTCTATTCTCTATAGTTGGTAATCATTGATGCGCAAAATGGACGAGGAGGCAAGTTGAGGCTTTAATACTAAAGATTTTCCTTTGCAAGGGTCTCGTGTTTCAGTTTGGCGACTGGCTCTCAGTCGTTTGCAGGATCCAGAGAGAATCTGAGGGGCTTATTGAAAAGGAAATGCTGAAGCATCGATGGGACAATTTAGATACGTGCAGCTAAGATTGTCCCTTTCGTCAATCAATTGGGTCATTTCTTGCTGCAAGTTCCTTTCAGACTACTTGTTTTGGACAATTGGGCAATTGTTAATCGGGGTCGATTCAGGACAAAAATTTCAAAAAATATGGGTCGATTCCAAGCACAAATCTGTTATTGATTCTTTGGCCCCTTATAAGTCACAATTAGTTACATCTTTCCAGAAATTCTTGCTTCTCTATGAAGTGGTTAAATATAGCACATGAATATTCAAAGTGGGTAGCCATAGTTAAAATTTTCCGGCAAAGGGAATCTAAGTCCCCTCATGGGTCAATGATTGCATGATGAATAAGTATATAATAGAAGCCCCGTCCTCATTGCTTATTGAAAATGTCACTGCCCGATAGTGACATTCAATTCAAATTTATTCAAATTAAAGTTCCTCCACCGCTTGACCCTTTATGGTCTCGTCTGTGACAAATTTTTTCCTCACAGCTGCTCTCGGAGCCCTTGGATATCTTGTTGACGACATCAAGTTTCACTAGTCCCTGTGACTCTAGAATTCTTACGTCAAAACAACTGGACAAAAATCTAAATTTATTTTTTAGCAAGTGAGAAATGGCCATTAAGTAGGACCACCTCCACATGCCTTTGCATGAATGATATGGATTTTTTAATTTCTAATTGCAAGCGGAAAAACTACAGTAAAAAGTAAAACACCATAAAGTGTCCCCACTCCAACGTTCGACTCACGCAAAGGTTTTAAATTATATAATTTTTGCGAAGTTAAATTAAATTCACGCTTTGCCACGCCAGACTTCCCGTTACCTATTATTACACGTGGCTTTATATTCGGTCCCGTCGGGGATTTCGATTGCTTCATTGTAATCGCATTGCCTTTTGCGCGCTGCACGACGGCGTCGTGTCATTTCTAAACCCCCTTAACTCGGAACATTTTGATTTAAACATCTACATTGGATTAGGAAACTGATTTAATGCAAGCGATAATCCACCAAAAATCGTATCATCTGACCAAATTAACAAATTTTAAGGAAATGAAGATGTCATTTTTAAAGAGAGGATATAGATCAAGGTCGTGCATTTTACGAAATATAAAAAATAAATAAAAATAAAAAAAGTAGGAACCCACTGAAGAGTCACAAAGTGGCTGTTGTGCATTTTACGAAACAACGAAACTTTTTGCGGAAGCAAACCTTTTTTCTCCCTCGAATCTCGCGCAGTTTAAATTTAGTGTTTCTAGGCTGATTCACTCTCAATCTCTGAGAGCTTTCTCTGGCGTTGCTTCTGTTTGATTCACTCCCCTGCAAAAGCTGGAAGCCTCAGTTTTGTTACTTTAGAATTACTGTCTTTCACTCCACAATCCACATAGTATTGTCCTTTTTGGCTAGCTGCTGCTTTTATGTAAGCCATTTGCCTTTTCTTTCTTCAATTTGAGGATCAAAGTTTTGGATCATTCTAAGGTAGAGACGCAGCCACAATTATGTTCACTCAAGGGCTTGACAAGAATGCACTTCGATGGGTTAGAGAGGTCATCTTCTCTGTTTCGTTTCCTATTTCTTCCCCACTTCGATTAATTATGCTTTGTCTTATTGTCTCAAAATCTGGGTTTTGTAGTAATGCCTTTTCTGGGAATGTTTATTAATGTTCGTAAATTCTGGCTTTTGCTGGTGATCAGAAGGAAGTTCCATTATCAAGTTCTAGTTTGAGATCGCGAATTGATCCTGTCACTGGGTTGAAAAATGGAAGCAGCAGGGGATTCGGGTTGCCACCGCCTGCTAAATTCAGAAGTGGGCATCTTTCAAATGCCATCCCAGTATCTACTACACCTGGTGAAATAAACGATAGCGGTTCTAATTCCGGCAATGACACTGATTCCGAGGATGAATCTTATAGTGGGAGATATTCACTGGATTCGTCGCCCTCAGACCTTAGAGATAAGGTCCCCAATGGTACAACTCAGAGGCACGGGAACCTCACGCAACGGCGACCTGGATATGCTAGCGATTACACATACTCTGAAGTCAGTTCTTCAAGGGAAACACTGGTTGGTAGACCCGGTGTTATGAGGGACCCGCTAGGGAGGGTTAATGGGAATGTGAGGGAGAGTGGTTTAACCGATGACGAATCATCGGATTCTGCTGCTGGTTCTGAATTTTCCACCACTCAGGTGGGAAGTGTCAGCGGTTCTCTGCAAAGAACTAAAACTTATGTTTCAGAGGGATATGATTCTAGCGTGCCGTCAAGGATGCATGCTGAATGTGCTGCTGAAAAGGTATAACATTTGTAAATATAGCCTGTACATCTTAAAACGTGGCCACGAGGATATTAAGAACAGAGTCCTAGGCAAGAGATAAGGCAAATTGGATTAGGTTGTTACCCGATCACACTGTTTCAAATAATTTCCATTTTGGTGCTTAGTTTTTTGCACGTGTTATTTAAACATATACATAATGGTGAAAATTAGTGAAATCTAATGGGTCGAGATTTCATAAAATTGTTGATGATTTTCTCTGACATATAATTTTCAAAAGTTAATCTTTTTGTTTTTGTTTTTTTTTTTGGGAAATTTAGATAAGGATTTTGAGGTTCTGTTTTTTCCCTTCCCAGTTGATATAAATTTGACCAAGCAAACTGCTGCTTACTGCAAATTACATTTTATGTGGTTAGGTTAAGAATTGCAATTCTTTTCGAGTTTGAACACTATATTACGTTAGACAAATTGCCATTTTCCACATCTCTAAATCACTCGTACAAAGAACACCTGACATTTTTCTCATCTTTAGCTTTCAAGTGCTGTACTAGTATATTACCTGCTATATCTAAAATCAACATAACTGAATGATTTCTGTGATAAAATTTCACAGAATGGAAGATCATCTGATGACGATGACGGTGACATTCCTAGTGCACCACCCTGTTGCAGCTCTGCTCAACAAACCAGACAAACGCCTACGATTCCAGCTTGTAGAGTGGATACTGCTCCACACAAAGCAGATATACAAGAGTTTTCTTCTACAAATGAATCAAGTGCATTCAATTCTATGGCTAAGAATAAGGAAGAGGCCAATAGTGCAAACATGACCCCTGAACAATTTGTTAGGTTAGTATATTTGATAAGTACAAGTATGTATTAAGACATTTGAATTCTTAACCTCTTCTGAAATACAAGGACTCACACTAACATGCAAACATAAATCAACCTGTGTTATCTTAATTTTGCGGTGACTTTTATGTGTTCACAGAACTGCTGCTGGTTCAGAAGCTGCTGCGTCTTCATATCATGCTCGTGTTCCAACCTTTCATGCTAGGTATAATTCTTGTTGATTGTGCTGATGATTGGCCAATTCCCCTGGTTTTCTTCTCCATTTAAAAGTTCTTATAAGTTATCTAAATATATTTTAGTGCTCTTGGGCCTTGGCAATCTGTGATTGCATATGATGCTTGTGTGCGTCTTTGCCTTCATGCCTGGGCAATGCAATGCATGGAAGCTCCAATGTTTCTGGAAAATGAATGTGCTTTACTAAGGGAGGCATTTGGGTGAGTTTAGATTCTTCTCTACTCCTTCCTTCTACCTCTTGTTGTCATCAATTCTATTAAAGATACTCTTCAGCTACTATTTTTCCTATGCTCCTTTTGCATTGTTATCACTTTTGATCTTATTAGAATTCCATCTCTTTGAATTGTAGATTGCGACAGGTTCTATTACAATCAGAGGAGGAATTGATGGTGAAGCAGAACTCAGAGCTTTCTAGTAAGAGTGTTGCTCCAAAACCAAGAAAGCTATTCGGCAAGATGAAGGTGCAAGGTAGTTTTTCATGTTGGTTTTTTACCACTTAATCATCTCCTCTTTGGAGAGTCTTTGTTGAGGATGTTTTATACTTTGCAGTGCGTAAAGTCAAAATGGCCATGGACACCCCTACTGGTTGTAGCATCTCATCTCTAAGGACACCTAAAATCAAAACGGGATCTCTGAGACACCAATTTTACAATTTACAGTCATCATTCTCTTCTGGATGTCGAGCCCTTAGAAGCATTCAATGTGTACAATGTATATCAGCAAATGGTTCATTGGCAAGACAAAGTTTGTCATACATGCATGCTAGTACCCGCTATATACAGCAGGTGTCTGGACTCCTGAAAGCTGGTGTGACAACTCTCCGGAGTAGTTCATCATCTTATGAAGTGGTGCAAGGTATGTGAAGTTTCAACCTCCATACGTTGTATTGGAACTGATAAAATATTGTGTAGCAATACAACTGATAAAATATTGTATAGCCATATTCTGTGATTATATTATTTGGCGCACCTCATAGGCTAACCTTCTTGCCTAGTGTCATTATGTGTTGAAGAATATGTCTCTGTTTGATGGCATGAAGGTTGCCATAAATTCAGTAAAAGATAAATTAAGTTTGGATATTTTTCTGGAATAGTGTTCTCTGTTGCAACTTGCAACCCTTTATTCTTCTGCTATGGGATGGGTGTATCACTTCCTAGAATTGGGAATTAATGAACCTGGAAAGTTATGCTTCTGTAGGTTGCTTGATACTTAAGTATAAATATTTACGCATGTCTCAAAAGTTGAATATCTATTGTAGAAGAACACAGAAAGTCGGGGAGTCACTAAATATATATATATATATTTTTTGATTAAGCTTCCTTTATCGTCTCTTCAGAGTTTTGGATTGTTTCAGAAAAATAATAGGAATTTTCCTTTCCTGATGTCATCAGTAAAGCTCATGGCTTGTGCTACATCTTTGAGTACAATTATTTTGCCCAAAAATTTTCATTTCATAGCATATTTTTTTGTTTTCCGAGGTCCTTGTTCCAATTTTTTCAATGTGGTCACAAGTTTATTATTTATGACAATGATTAATGGCCTATATGTTCTGAGAATAGATAAAAAGTTATGCCTGCTTGATTCTCGTTTTTCTTGTTTGGATTTTCGCTTGATCCTTTTCTTCCAGTTCTATTAATGTTTATTCCTGTGCTTGTGTCAGAGACATACTCCTGTTTTTTAAGACTGAAAAGCTCAACTGAAGAAGATACCATCAGAATGCAACCTGGATCTAGTGAAACTCATATATTGTAAGTATTATTTCCTTCTAATGTTTTATGAATGTCCTGTTTGAATTAGTATCTGATTACTTTACAGTTTTCCAGATGGCTTTGGAGATGATTTAATTGTTGAAGTCCAAGATTCTACAGGGAAGCATCTGGGCCTTGTTCATGTCCAAGTGGCTGCTATTGCTGATGATTCAGTAAGATTTTCTCCTGCAATTTTTCCATCCAGTTACCATTGTTTGTGATGATTGATGTTTGTGATGATATGATCGGATGCATGTTCAATATGAATGCAGGCTGACAAATTTCACTGGTGGCCTATTTATCATGAGCCCGACCATGAGCTAGTGGGCAAGATACAACTTTATATAACTTATTCAACAAGTTTAGATGAAATTAATAGTCTCAAGGTAAGTCATATTATGATTGTTACGTAGTGTTCATATTATCTAAACTATGGTAGTGAGTCTATATTAGGTATACCATCAGCCTTGCTATCTGGGGCTTGGTATTTGCTTTACCTTCAATTATTTTCCAAGAAAACAGCAATATATCGATATACAGTTTTAGAAGTTATTGCAAGCTGTGCTAAGAACTCTAGAAATGAGTTTTCCAGAATAACATTTGGAAGCATCAGTTGTCCCTTCACGTAGAAATTTTTTCATTTTTATTTGACGTATTTATTGCAAGACTAGAGCATAATGCAATGAACAATTTGCATCCTATTAGCCCCTTAGATGCCCATGTCAGTATGTCACCTCTTTTCTAGTGGAAAAGAAGAAATTATACTTTGTTTGAATCAATGGTTTTCATATGTGATGGGTTGTTGCTAATGGGCCAAGGCTGAATGGAATGTTGATGAGGTGGGCGGGAAGGAAGAGAAATAATGCTAGTAACTGACTCACGTGGGTCGTGTGGGGTAAGAGAGAAAGAGAAAGAAGGGCCGTGGGGTTAGGCTTATTTGTTGTGGAGGGTAGGGTGGATAAGGGAGTAAGGAAGGATTTATTACGGGAGGAGAGTCTTTAGGCTCTCAAATGCTTGGGTAGTCTATATTTTCTCATAACCTTTATGTCTTTATTTTTTGAGTTTTCTGTTGCATTGGACCTCACACAGTTACCCATAATTGACCTTTTGTCTTGTGGGTTCAGTGTGGTTCTGTGGCAGAGACTGTCGCATATGATATAGTTTTAGAAGTTGCTATGAAAGTTCAAGGCTTTCGGCAGAGGAATCTAATATTGGATGGTCCGTGGAATTGGCTTTTATCAGAGTTTGCATCATACTATGGGGTATCTGAGGTATATACGAAGTTAAGGTAATATGATGTTGATTCTCTTATATTTGTTAAATCTTTAATATTGTTAAAACAGATGCTTCCCACCATATATTTTGTTATTGTGCTAGTGTTGCTCCTAACTTTTCATGTGAATAGGTATCTATCTTATGTCATGGATGTGGCTACACCAACAGCAGATTGCCTTAACTTGGTGTGTGATCTGCTAACACCTGTTATCATGACGAGTAATATCAAGAAGTCTCTGAGCCACCAGGAGGTAATATAGAAATTTCTGAGTTGAACCATGTAATTCAAACTGTTAGTGCAATCTGTTTTGTAATCTCTTTGTACTTTTATTGTAATGTGGTATGAATCAAAAGTTCCATGTTAGCATGTAGTTCTTTCCAATAGTTCAATGGATTTTTTTTTTTTTTTGGTCTTGTCTAACCTGGTAGATTGCTGTTTATCAGAACCGACTATTGGGAGAGACCAAGGATCAAATCGAACAGACTCTCACTCTTGTTTTTGAGAATTACAAGTCACTGGATGAATCATCCCTCTCAGGTATCACAGAGGCTTTTAGACCTGCGTCTGGTCTTGCAGCGCATGCACTGGAGCCTGCTGTTAAACTCTACAAGCTGCTTCATGATATCTTATCTCCTGAAGTTCAAACTGCTTTCTGTCATTACTTTCAGGTAAGAGAATTTTGAGATCTTTGTCATGATGCCTGAAAGTAAATGGGCATACTTACTCCCTCAGTAAATGACTATAACTGCTTGTATCTGCCAGGTTGCTGCAAAAAGGAGGTCAAGAAGGCACCTTAGTGAAACTGATGAATATGTTTCTAACAATAATGAAACTAGTCTGATGGACAGCATGACCATGTCTACTGCTTATGGGAAGATGAAAACACTATGCATAAATCTAAAGAATGAGATCTACACTGATATTCAGATTCATAATCACAACATACTTCCCAGGTATAATGCATTTTATCAAATAATCTTTTATGCATTTAGTTTTGTTGGAGTTTTAATTTAGATTCAGATGCTGGAATCAGTTTTAATTTAGTTTTGTTGAAATTTTCCTATATATAGATAAATATTGTAAGAAAAGAATGCACGTTTGGTGGTTGACCTGGAATATGGAATAAGATGCTTTGTGGCTAATAAATGACAATCACATGATTTTTGGTAGTCTGATGACTCTTGATTTGTGAGTTATGTTTCATCATGTGTTTTGGACTGGCGTTTACTGCTTAAGAACATCTACTAAACACTCTGTTAGTTATCACTTGTCATTAAAAAGTGCCTTTGTATATACTTCCTAACATTCTTTCACCATGACTGTTACACAATAAGATACGTATTCATGTCTGTTATGATTGGTTACCTAGATAAAAACTATGAATACAGTTTCTATTCGTCACTGTAACCTCTTTCTTTAATAGAGAAGACAACATCTAAGCTTGACAATTTTCAAATGAGTAATGCCATATTAAATTTAATAATTGCATAGCAGTATGTTATTTCTCAGGATTAAAAGTCCATCACGGCTTAAAAAAAAAAATAGATTAGCCTGAAAAAAGAAGCAGCAGCAGCAAAGCTAGAAGACTAGCACCACAACTGATAAGAACAGGACAAGCAAGATGCTAACAAAAACGGGTGTAGGGGTTATGTGAACCATGGAAGTAGGGATTCTTTGTCATTTGACCTAAGATTTGAATGCACTTTACCAACTCTCTTCTCATCTTCTGTTCCTGCTTATTGTGTACTGTATTTACCAATATTAACAATTACCAATGTTTTCACATATGTGATGGCATGTTTTTCTTGGATATTATGATTCTTGTTTTATTATTTTTGCGCTTTTGATTCTTGGCAAAAATCATCGTTCAAACCACTTCAGTTGCCATATTTCAAAATTTTATGTTCCTTGTGTAACCATTCTTGTCTGGTTGTTTATCTAACTGTTAATGCTAGTTGAAGGTTCTAATATTGTTACTTTCATATTCTTGCACAGCTTTGTGGATCTACCAAATTTGTGCGCATCCATATACAGCACTGAGCTTTGCAGTAGATTACGAGCTTTCCTCATTGCTTGCCCACCCACAGGCCCTTCCCCGCCAGTAGCAGAACTTGTTATTGCAACATCAGATTTTCAGAGGGACCTTACCAGCTGGAAAATTAGGTAAATGTTCTAGGTACTAGTACATCTTTTTTTGTGTGGTCAAAGAATTAATTTGTGCTACTCAGCATGATTCTAACTTGTTTTATTCCTCGTCAGTCCCATCAAAGGTGGAGTAGATGCAAAAGAATTGTTCCACTTGTATATTCTTGTCTGGATCCAAGATAAACGCTTGTCCTTGCTTGAGTCATGCAAACTGGATAAGGTGCTTATTTCAACACACTGCTATTATGTGATATATCCTGTCCTTTGATATTTTATCTGCGGATTGGGTTGTTTCTTACCTCATTCTTATTAGTGTTTTTTCAACATACTGCTATTATGCTATCAAAACATTATCTTACGCAACAAATTGTTAAAAGCTTTGCCCTTGCAGGTGAAATGGTCAGGGGTTAGAACTCAAAGTTCTACTACTCCTTTTGTTGATGACATGTATGAACGAGTGAAGGAAACGTTAAAAAATTATGATGTCATCATTTGCCGCTGGCCAGAGTACACCTTGGTTCTAGAGAATGTATGTTAGAATTGATCTTACTTCCTCTTATCTTTGCTCATCCCAAATCATTTTCCCCCATTTTTCCTTGCAAATTAAAGTTGCGAGATGCATTTGGTTCCATTTTGATTGTACTTCTGGCCATGGTTTGATACTGATGAGACTGTGAGATATGGTCAGACTTATAAGAGGAGATCAAGGGAGCAGTTGGGTGTAGAAAGTAAATACCCATTGGGTTAGGAATAACATCCTGGGGGTCCAGAAAAGAAGGATTATGTCATGATGTTTTGGTAGGGTGGCTTAGATTTAGTCTCGATATTGAAGTCACCTTTTTGCTTGCTTTATTTGGCTGTATTATTTTTGTTGGCACTCAAGGATGTTTTAGAGAAGTTAGACAGAAGTGAGGAGAGTGCTGGTCTCTCGAACACCAGTGAGAGATCTTTTCTTGTTGCTGTGTTCTTTCATTTGGTTTGTAATTTCAGTCATAGGGAATAGGGTTTTGGCTAGAATCAGTGAGTTTCTCTTGTAACACTGATTCGGTTCATATGCATTAATATCAAAAACCTCAGAATTTTCCTCATTTATTTCTCTTTGCATTGAAAGCTTGGTTCTATTAGTTACTTTAGAGCAGAGCTCTATCAAATACCAATAAACATTGTCTGATTGACTTTTAAATTACATTATAGAATAACTCAAAAGTGAATTCGGTGCTACAATGAGATTCAATGTCAATAGATCTGTTATTTGTCACTTCAACCTCCTGGGTGACATTATTTGTCAAAATGGTATACTTTTCTTTTGTTTGAAGGAGGTAGAAGTAAGGAGGGTCTTTGTTGTGGTTTCATGTGTCAACTATTAAATCATGTCATTGACATGCGTTGGAGTTATTTATTCATTTCAGTTCATATTTCAGCGTCTTTCCCACTTATCATTTCTCCTGTAGATCTTCAAACATCCATCTTGCAGAGTAGTATTTTGTTAATTCGGTTATGTGATTTGTAATATCTTTTCTGTAAAGCTTTCGTACACATGGATATATTTTCCTTGATGCTAAATTTATTATTGTGTCTGAAGAAAAAGTAATGAGTTTTCATTGTACCCTTTTTTTCTGACAATAGGCCATAGCTGATATTGAAAAGGCCACAATAGAAGCTTTAGACAGACAGTATGCAGATGTGCTGTCGCCTCTCAAGGAAAACATGACTCCTAAGAAGTTTGGACTTAAATATGTCCAGAAACTTACCAAACGACCTGCATCTCTCTATGTAGTTCCTGACGAGGTGATTAGAGTTCTCAAGTCTGCAATCTTCAACACGTTTATGCTGTTGTCTAAACATATGTTATTGCTTTCAGCTTGGAATTCTTTTGAATTCCATGAAGAGAATGCTCGATGTCCTGCGTCCCAGGGTAGAATCAAAATTCAAGTCATGGGGTTCTTGTTTGCCAAATGTTGGGAAACACAGCACCAGGTGAAAGACTTAGTGAAGTAACGGTGATGCTGAGATCAAAATTCAGGAACTACATTCAAGCTATTGTGGAGAAACTTGCAGAGAATGTTAGTATCACTATGAAACTATAAGTTTCTTGTTGAGTTATGAACCTATGATATGTTGATGGCATTGGTTATCTCTGAATCTCGTAATAGGAAATATCTTTAGGATTATTGAGCAATAACGCAGTCAGCATGTGTACGCACATCAATATGTTTACACTGTTCTAAAACTCATGGTATCTTATTTCCTATGTGCACGTTTTATTTCCCCTGAAGTTTGTATTTTCTACAGTTTGTAGTAATGCAAGATATTCATTTGTATTTTACTGATCTTACTAGAATAATACTTTTCAAGTGGTGACGGTTATGTGTTTCCCTGATATGCAATTTTGATTTCAGATGAAGTTACAGAATGCTACGAAACTTAAAAAAATTCTGCAAGATTCAAAGGAAACTGTCATAGAATCTGATGTAAGAGGAAGAATGCAACCACTGCAAGACCAGCTGGCTAATACCATTAGTCATCTTCACACCGTCTTTGAGACTCACGTCTTCATTGCCATTTGTCGAGGTTATTGGGATCGTATTGGACAGGTAAGTTCATTTTCATCTCGGTATAATTGACCCTTGATGACTAAGAAATCTGACTGCAGGAAAATAATTTAATTTTTTTTTTTTTTACCGGATTCCTTCTTTTAAACAGGAGATTTTAAGTTTCTTGGAGAACAGAAAAGAAAACAGATCATGGTACAAAGGTTCAAGGATCGCAGTATCTGTGAGTAGTCATCTGCCAACTTAACTAGCATAAACATGATTCGTATTGTAAACTCTACACAATTGGGAGGAATAGCACGTGCTGAATTTATTAGTTAGTTGACTTCAGAAATACAGAAGTGAAAAACTTTCCGTCGACGGCTCTTGGGGAGCTGTGATAGACCATTGTTGCAGATTTATTGCAGGATTGTCAACTTAATGAGGATTATCTATATGTTTATCATACCTGGTCCGCCATATATTCCCCTTGGTTTGGAAATCAGATTTGCAGGTTTTCTAGCCTTAGCCAGGAGAGTTCTGAGAAAGATTCCTAACTGGTTTACTCTACTGGAACTATATTTTCTCAATTAGGCGTTGGAACTATATTTTTAGCTTAACCATCGTGAATTTAAGCAATGTAGAAGATATGGAGTCTATTAGCTTCCAATGTTTGAAACACTAGTTTAGTTTTCATCCTTTCTTCTCTTACCTGAGGTTGTCTGTGCAGATTCTGGATGATACCTTCGCCTCGCAATTGCAGCAGCTTCTAGGACATACGTTGCAAGAGAAAGACCTGGAGCCTCCTAGATCCATCATGGAAGTTCGTTCCATGCTCTGCAAGGATGCTCCCAACCTCAACAACAACTCTTTCTATTTTTAAGCTCAGCCTTGTAAATATGATTTCAGGAAAACCGTGGAAGAGAAAGACTTGGCTGGAGGGAGATGACCAGTGCCTGCACAAGTTAGTTTTTTTTTTTCCCGCCAGCAAAGCAAGATGCGTCCATAAATTCAGTGAATAATATCATCGGGGCTTACCAATTTTGTTGCAGGGGCAAGCAACTCGGCTGCTCCTGAAAATGTTGCATTCCTTAATTATTTGGCCCAGCAATTTAGTACATATTTATCCAGCAAATTCCCACGTATTTTTAGCGTCGTTTTATAATTTTAGCAGCTTTATTCTTTTTATGTGAAACCTTTGCCCGTTGCCGGAAGAGCACTGTCTGATATTACCAGTTTGCCAATCACTGCCAAAGAGTTTAGACTATTATTCTACCAAAATAAGTTTAAAATATTAGGGCATGTTTAGTATCATGTTAACAAAACCATCAAAAGTTAAAATTATGATCTTGATGGCTTTCAATGTAACATTTAAATTGAAATGAAATTTAATTCATCAAGATTTGGTTTTGATAGTTTAAATCTTAAATTATCTAAAACAATACCAATAAGTTTTGTTCCACTACATATCTGGTCATGAATTAATAGTTCAACATGTTTAAACTATTCATTTTTTTTTTTAAATTCAAATCATGTTTCCAAACTATGATACATGCATAAAAAAGTAATACTAATGGATATGTGTGTATACATATATAATAAGTAATCTCATAGTTACTTTTTATTATATTTTTCTTCTTACACTTGATTGTTTTTCAAATCTTATTATTCATTTAATAGAAATCATTTTTTATATTTAGTTAGCATATTTTATCTTTCATATTTAATATGTACCATATAATTTAGATTTAAAATAAGCTAAATATATTTTTAATTATCTAACTTTATATAAAATTTTAATCTAATCCTTTAATTTTATAAAATATCTTTTTAATTCTTTATCATTATTTAAAAAAATTAAATTTAATATGTCAACATTTAAAAATTCAATATAAAAATTTATTAAGATAAAGTTAACATTATTAGAATTAAAGGACTAATAAAACACCTTATAAACTTAGAGGACAAAATAAAACAATGTGTAAAATTAAATGATTAGATATACTTTCTTTGTTCAAAATATGAAGCATTTTTAGCCGAATCTCACCCTTAATAAAAAAATTACTTACTTTTAAATTAACCCTATATTTTTTTATTTATCCCTATTAAATACCATACAATAAATATAAAGTTATTCATTAATAGGGACATTTTTAAAAGAAAAAAAAATTACATCTCAAAAGATTAAAAATAATGCCTTACATTTTTAAATATCAAACTCTTAAAAAAATTCCTTATAATTTTAAATAAAGAGAGTATACTTTAACCAATTAAATTAATTATAACCAATTTGACCAATTCAATATAATTCCACTAATGAACCCTAGAAAGGTTTCCCGAATTGCTCCGTGTAACTTCTATAGCTATATATTTATAAAATCCCACATGAGCCATTATTCATAAAATCAGTTCAATTCTTTTAAATAATTTACTATTTACTAGTCAATTGAATATGGATAGCTAGCCTTGCATTAATCTCCTTATATTTCAAGGCCCCCCACAAATCTCCATGTATTTCTTCATTCTATTATTCTTTCAATTTCTATATGATCCAACAGGGAAGGCAATGGAATAGGGGAACGTTAAATTTGTGAATGAGAAATTCAACCTAATATTTGATGAATTAGGAGATATTTACAACTGATTTATGGGGCAAACCACTTAGATAAATTTTAAATGACAAGTGGGAAATCAAGCTGATTTGCAGCACAAGCACAAGTAAAAAGGGTAAATAATTAATTATAATAAAAAGGGGGTTAATGACTATCAAAAAGACGAAAAAGGGGGTGGGGGTAAATAACTACACTACAACTCTTCTCCACTCTTCACTGGCACATTAGAGAAGCTTTGAGATAACATGGCAAGATGTCCACAATGCCTTTGTTGCAGCCTCTATTATAACAGGGTTTTGATAAATCCTGTCAACCAAGCCAAGCCAAGTTGTCAATAAAATGAATGTACTACCTGAAAATTGGGGAGGACTAATGACCACCTTGATGTACAAAAACCCTGTTTGGATATAATTAGATTAGACAATTGCTTAATTAAGACAGCCAACCAATTAGCTACATCTCTTATAAGTGCAATCTCAAATAAGTTAGTGTGCGATATATATAGACACTACAAGTAGCTCTTAGAAGTTAAAAAATCAATTATGACAGTTTTTTCAAAAATAATTGTAACAATAACGGCTTAACCTGTGTTAATCTTTTGCAAAACAAGCTAAGCGAAAATAGCTTGTAGAGGCATTACAGTTGCTTGAATAAGTTAATCCAAACACAAACATTTTAAAGGGGAAAAAACAAATGCGCATTCATGCTCACACATACAAAACAGTTGATCAGTGCTGGTTGGAGTATAACTGACCGTTAACCAGTTAATAGCACAGCCAAATGGGACTGTAAAAGCAATATAAAACAGGATAAACGAAGGGAGCTTGGCCAGGCATCGGTAAAACAAAAATATCTATAGCATTTCCCTGCTTTGGAGAGATACCAATCTGGTTAGAAAGAAAATATAACCCCTTACCCAATGGCTGTAGCCCCCCAGGACGCAACATTGTATATAACTTTGCTCCCATCCCATGCCTTTTGAAGCTTACCCTTCTTCTTTTTCACCGAGAATGTCTTTCTTAGTACTGATAAGAACACATCAACAAGTAAAAAGCCATTTAACATTCATTTTTATCTAATTAGCATTATGATTGTCTCAACTACGCAAATAAATCCATCTCCAAAGCGAAAAGAGTACACACAGAAGAGTTATTTCAGGCGTTGGTTTGCACTGGAAAATACGGATGAATAACAACTGCAATGTATCATTCTAGGAAGGAAACAATCAAAAGCACCTTTCTGAAGTTGATTAGGAGTCATGTCCTGCAACTGCAAACCATGCAACAAAGGTATGTAAGTGAGATGTAATATAAACTTCAAATATGTCATGCAATATATGCTTTGATTGCTTTCTGTTATTAATATTTGATCATGGCCGACTTTCATAAACCACATTCTTCATTGGTACACAAGAGGGGTTATTATCCAAGAAGCACCAAAAGGGATTTCGGGTTTAAAGAAGCAATGCAGCTTAAACAGAGAATTGTTCACTTTAACAAACATACAAGTGTCTTACATGATTACCCATTTACTACAATGGGATGATTTTTCAGGCATACGTTTGCAAACACACACTTGTAAGTATATAATTTTGTTCTTACATTGATTGCAAAAAAACATAAACAAATAAAATAAGATAAAATTTAAGCACCTCAAGTAAGATTTTTATCTCTATTTTTCAAGGAAGAATAATAATATTTTCTTCATTTTTCACCGTTCATTCTTTCACAAATTAAAATTATTTTTTTCCAGACTTCTTTGGCCATATTTTCAATTCATTATGAACATAAATAAAGTTTTGTAGATATAAAGATCATTACAAATAAACCCCAAGTAAAGCAACAATAACATGCATAAAGCCTCCTAACTTGAGGTATACAGATACCTTAGTATGGTCGAGGGATAGCAAACACGCAGCCATGAAGCAAGCCATTCCCTCTGCTATATCTTCCTGTCGAACAAGGACATAACCTTCTTGGTCTGATTCAATATCTTCACCTTTCCATAGGTCATCCTCACTGACCATATCCCAAGAATTACCTTCTTCTGTCATAACCCAATAAATTTTCTAATCATTCTAAAACTGAAACATAAAAAACAAAAGGCTTTTCCAATGTCTTCAATCTAAACATTGAAACTAGATTACTTTGTAATGTTATAAGCAACAAGTTAAATACAGGAATATATTTGGAGATGTACCAATTGTATTCCATGAATCTGATGCCTGGGCACACTGCAACTTTTCAAGAAAAGCAGGGCATTCAAACCTGGATTTGAGTAGGTCACGTAACTGCATTGGACACACAGACTAGAATGAATATCCATCAACAGCGGAACCAAAATCTTACGAGAGCTATTCACTATGAATCATCCACAATAGATGGGAGATAAGATTGCATTCCACATCATGATCAAGCAGGAGAGTGTCAAATGCTCGTATTACAGTTCCAATGATATACGCACCTTCGATGCATATACGTGTCCTTAAGGGCACTAGCGTCTAAATGCAAGTGGAACTGCTCAGTGAAATATTTCCAAGAAACATGGTCATATGCATGATCGATGCTGTCAGTCAAAAAGTGTACAAGTAAAGACACTGGACCAGTAGCTCTGGGCTAATATGAATGGTTGGCAATTTAAAAACACAGAAAACAAGCTCCTAAGAAGGTTCCGCAGTATTTGATCACTACATCAGCACTTGGTCACTAGAGATAATACAACGTAAAATGTAAATCAAGAATTATTTCCCGCTATTTGTCTGCCTCTTGGATCCAGATCACCCGCCAAAATAAACTCCATCTAACCACCAAACCTCAAAAGGATGGAGAAAACAGAAAAATAAAACAAAACAATTACCTCGTCGGCGTCTTGATCATCTCTTGTAGAAGGTGATCCTTCAAGGCGCCGATCCGACCCAGTAGGTTCAACCTCAATCCCAAAATCCTTTTCAACTTCGTCAACAACGCTAGTCATGTTGAGTAATTCGAGAGATCTCCGACACTGCTCAAACGCAGCAAGCAACGTCTCCCTCCTCGGCCGAACCCGATCCTTTCCCAACCGCTCCCTTGGAATTTCAACAGTGGGTTTTGTATCACATAAATCGATCTCCATTGAAAGTTCGCGAGGCTAGACAATGGCCAGAAAACACTAATAAAATAGCGATTTGTCTTGATAAGAATTGAGCCCTAGAAAAGTTTATCGTCAGTATCAGATGTCGTCAAAGCTGCTGGGCGATGATGTCAAATAGATGTTGTGAGCTAAAAGGGACACGTGCTTCTCATGGTCGTGGGGGTTGTTTGTCTCCTGCACGCGAGCCGACCGGTGGCGCGGATGATGATAACGGAGAGACTGGGCGGAGCGGGCCACGAAACCGCCAGTCATCATATAGCCCTTCGGTCGCAAATTATAAAACATTTTTAAAAAAAATTTACCGTGTTCAAATATAGTACACTTTAAAAAAATTAAAATTTTATTAAATATATTTATTTTAATATCTTTTTTTTCTTTCTATTTAATATTAATTAAGTATAAATTTAAGAATATTAATTAAAAAATATTTTTAAAAGTTTATATTTTTACTTAAAAAATTATTAAGTATATTTTTTTAACAAAAAAATGTTAAGTGTATTTAATAAGAGTTATTAGTATATGAGATTTTATTTAAAAATATTTTATAATTTAAGACGAAAGGAATATTATATAATTCATCAATAAATTAATACTCCCTCCCTTTAAAAAGATAAAATATTTTAAATTTTTAAAAATGTTATCATTATTTCTTTTTTAAAGTGTCAAATTAAATAAATTATTTTATATTTATTTTAAAGTAAAATATTCTATTAAATAAGAATAAATATAAAAATATAGGGTTAATTTAAAAATAAGTAACAATTTTATTGAATAGTGAGATTTAATTAAAAATACCTTACATTTTTTAGTGAAGGGAGTATCAATAATCAATAATATATACTCCCATAATTCTCTTTATAAATCATTTCTATCGACTTTATTAATATTAATGCAAAAAAAAATACAAGGAATAAGATTATGTAGAATTTTAAATATGTCCCTTTATTACAAATTTAAAAAGTAATGTCATATTATTTTTTCTTTTTTATGAAGAGTAATTTTAAAAATATTTTTTAAATATTAGCTAAAAAGTCACACCATAACTTATAAATGAGATTAAATAGACCTTTTAAAATATGACTTATAAATGAAATTAGAGGAAGAATATATATACAAGCTAATGTATAGTTTAGTCTTCCAACTTTATATAAAATTTTAATTTGATCATTTAATTTTATAAAGTATCTTTTTAGTTTCTTAACCTTAACACCATTAGTTTAATGTGATTATTTTTTGTGTCAATTATTATTATTTTAAAAAATTAAACTCAATATGCCAACATTTGATAGTGTTTTGTCAACATTTAAAATTTTAATACAAATTTTTTTCATGATAAAACAAACTGTATTAGAGTTAAAGAATTGAAATAATACTTTAATCACAAAATCAAACTTTATGTGAAGTTAAAGGATTAAAAATTTATCTTAATCTATATATAAACACATCGTATCAAATGTACACACAAACCCAGAAACCCATTTATATAAGTAGTTCTAACAATAATTTACATATATACTATTTTTAATTTTTAGTTATAATTTATAATAAATGAGAAAATGATCATAAATTCACATATTAAAAAATTAAAGTTAATAAATACAAGAGACAAAAAATATTTACAAATACAAAGAATTTATATTTTGCACCAAAATTAATTAAAAAAATACTTATATTTTAAAAGAAGAAGTACCATTCTTCTTAGGTTCATGCAAATTATTTTTCATCATTTAGTTCTTGTCACTAACTTTGTTTGTTTTGAATTTGATAGCAAGCTATTTGGTTATTTTGAGTAAAATATTCTCACCACTCTTTTATTTTGTCTTAATTACACAATCATCTCTTTTATTTTGAAAACATATAATTTAGTTCAATATATTAACTTTGTTAGGAATATTTTAAAAAGATTCTTGAAATTTATTTACTAATTTACCCCTCACCCTAATAAATTCTAAATTATATTATTTTGAAAATTATATAATTTAATTGTAAAACACATGTTTATGAATTTTAAATTAAAATTATTTATATAATCTCTTGAACTTATATCATTTTTCATTATATAATGAACAAAAATATGTGTTTGAAATATATTTTTAGCAATTTTAAAAAACATAAATAATTAAGTTTCAATAAACTTGATAGAATTAAAAATTTATACTATGATAAAATTAATAAATTTTATGATTTACTAAAAATTTCAAAATGTAAATGATCCATTACCCTCATATCTCTTTATGCTGGGTATGGATAAACTTTCTTATATTTTTTATAATGCTGTAAATGATGAGAAGTGGAATCCATTAAAGGCAGGGAGGAATAGTACTTCAATGTTTCATTTATTTATTGATGATGATTTACTCTTATTTTGTGAAGCTGATGTGGGTTAGATAATTAATGTGTTGGATTGCTTAGATTTGTTTAGTGGAGTTTCTAGTCAAAAAGAGAATAAAGATAAGACCAACATATATTTCTCAAAAAATGTATCCAAATTGAAGTGAAATTAGCTATTTTGAGTATGTGATTTTTAAGAAAAAGAAGAATTGGGAAGATATTTAGGGCTTTTATCGCACAAGAAAGAGCTTTAAGAAACACATTCCAATTTTCAATTAACAAGGTGCAAAATAGGCTTAGTGGTTGGAAAAAGCAATTTTTATATCTCAACGATAAGTTAACACTTGTATAATCAGTATCTTCTTAATTGTCAATTTTTACCATGCAACATGCTTAGATTCCTATCAGGGTATGTAATGAAATTGAGAAGGTGCAAAGGGAGTTTTTTTGAGGGCTTATCAAAAGAAAAGAGAAATCTCTATGCTATCAATTAGGGTGCGATTTGTCTACTTAAGGAATTTTGGGGACATGGTGATAAGGATATGAAAAGGAAAAATGCTACACTTGTGGCTAGAGTAGGATGGAATATGCTAGTTGTAACATCCCAATTTAAATTTTAATAGTTAATTTGGGTTAATAAAAATTTTGAAAAATATTTAGAGCTAAATAAATTAGTAGGAGATGATTATTAAATTTAACTTAAGATATAATTATAAATTAAAAATAAAAAAAATAAAAAAAATAAAAAATAAAAAAATAAAAATATTATTAAATTATTATTATTATAATAAAAAAAGAAATGAAGAAGAAGAAGAAAGTTTGGCTTCCTCTTTCGGCATCCGTGCAATCATTATATATAATAATAATATAAAAAAAAGGGGGGAGAGAGAAAAGAAGAAATAATTAAAAAAAAAGATGTGAGACCCACTGAATTTTTATAAAAACTCACCTTCCTTCATTTCCTCATTCATTCCTTCGTGCGTGCTGAGGCAGAGAGAACGCAAATCACCGGTGCGAAATATCTAAATTTTTAAGGTAAGAGTTTTTAATAGGATATTTAGGGTGTGATTTTAAGTTTTTCAAGACTAAGTAAGTGTTCTAAAAATTTTTCTTAGTCATCCTTCTTCTTTGGTTTCTGAGTTTGTAGTGGTAGAAAATTTAAGATCTGGAAGAGGGATGAATTTATGTTGAATAAATATGATTTTTGAGGTTGTCAGTAGTATAATAAATGTTATAGAGTATAAATTTGTTAATGATCTTTGAATTTATGGCTTATGAATCAAATTCTAAACTAGATCTGAAAATATATGTTGATTTATTGAGGTTTAGATGATTATTTGGGATGAGAAATGAATTATTATGGCTATAGGATTATGATTCTAAGCTAGAGACTCAATTTTTAAATTTTGAGTATTTTAGGTGCGAATTTATAAAATAAAAAGAAAATTTTGATAATAGAAATTAGTTTAGAAGTTGATTTTTAGATTATTAATGTTTATTGATAATTAAAAGAGGAGTTAAAAATTATACTTAATAGTATTAACTATAGATTTGTATTAAGATTGAGATTAGGAATTATGTTATATTTTTAATTCTATTATTAGAATTATTTTATTAGTTTCAAAAATTGAAACTAATATTTATAAATAATATGTTATTTGTAGATTGTATTACTGGTGAAGATTGTGGTGAGAGAGAAATTTTAAGGAATAATTTATTGAAAAAGCCACAAGGTAACCATGCTTTTAATTTGTGATTAGTGTTACTTCATGTTAATTGGGTGATTATTGAGAAAATTATGAATTTTGTAATATTGTATAATTGTGCAATATTATTATGAATTTGTTTATTTATTGTGGGAGGTGTTGGGAGACTTGCTATTATTGTTGTATTTATGTGCCACGTGGTATGCCCCTATTGGAGCTCAATAGGTGGCTTGTAAGGGCTCGGGCTAATCTACCTTTGGCCGGGTAATTTAGCACCGAGTGAGGGCTACGGCTCGAGGTTAATGGAGGGATATAAGGATGGTTGTTTGTGTTTATTGTAATATTTCTTATATTTGTTGGAATTATATTATTTTTAATTCTCACTTAGTAAGCACACACTTAACTGTTTGTATACACTATCATAAATTGGCTTTGGTTACTGGGACTTTTGAGTCTCATTATGTGATTAACAATTTTCAGGAGAAGAGCCACAAGTGACACGTGGAGGAGTCCCAGAGGCTTAGTGGTATAGATCCACTGTCTCTTTTGGGTATTTAATTTATGATTTATAATGTGTTATATTGCCAATATTAGAGCTTTTTGTTTATTGTCAATTATATGAATATATAAATGTAATCATGCCTTTCAAACTATTTCTATTTTTGGTACAATTTGGATGACTGTAATTTTAATATTTGGTTTACTTTGGATTGGTTAAAATGGCATGATTATAAGGCCAAATAACTGGCTTGTGTTGAAAATTGACTAAATTGCTTATTTTACTTGTTGGGAGTATAAGGATGGACAAATGTGATTTAGTTTACTTGTTGGGAGTATAAGGATGGACAAATGTGATTTAGCCTAATGGCATGTGGGAGGTAAAAATTTATCTGAAATGTTATAGTGTGTGAGTTGAAGCCAATTATAAAATATTTTATATCGAAATTATTGATATAAAAATGTGTTGGGTGGCTGTAACCCAACTATGGTTGAGTTAAATTATTTAAAAAAAAAATTGGTGTGTTACACTAGTAAGACCTGAAAACTTATGCTCTAAAGTACTGATTGAGAATTATGGAAGAGATGTTGATCTTTTGAAAGAATGCTTTACTAAAAATTTTGGATTCTACATTTTAGAAGTTTTTGGCAAGGATTTGGCCAAAAATTGTAGACATGGTTTTATGCGAATGTCAAGAGTAGGATCAATTTTT